AGGGGTCAACGTGTGGCGTATTTTTGACAAATAGCACGTAAACAAAGAGGAGACGTGCACTGTTTATGTGCATGCGAAAATAGTCTGAAGAGGGCTTGACGGCTACAAAGAGATAGCTGTTTACGACAACACATAAACTGCTCAAGGATAGCACATTCGATACCAATTTCGATAGGACATCGAAAGAAAACCCAGTACAGCATTAAATGCCGTTTTACTGGTGGTTATTTTATTAATGATGCAACTAATGGCAGTAAGACAGACATGAGAATACGCCATAGGGAGAATATCAAGTTAAAATGCAAATTTGAACAATTTTACAAGTACAGGTAACCTAAAGTGGCTAAAACATGCAAGTTCGAAACTGCAACACAATAAGACAAATCACCTTCTACGCTCGGTTGAGGAGAAGGCGAAGCCGGATCCATAGGCAGAAGTTGAGTTATCGTCCCCACCTTCCAAGTCCGAATCGTCACCAAGCAGATTCATGGTGCTCTCGGACCCCGCATTCCTGCCACGACGGGGTTTCGATGAGGCGGAAGAAGTGGAAAAATAGACCGGCGTCTCGTTGGGAATGAACATGGCTGTAAGGATGGCCAACAGGGCTAGAAGCGAGCCAAATGCGAACGGGGGACCAGGAATGAATGCCTAGAGCGAGGATTCGCAAAAAAACTTGTTTCGATAGAACTTAAAGAAATTTCATATTGGTAGAAATCATAATGAAATATAAGGGGTGCGCGATAGACTTACCGCCACATGGTGCATCTTGGGCAACAAGAAGGTCTATAAACCGTCAGTTGACTTCTCGCTTCAAACTACCATGATCCAACTGCATGCCATATTCCACCACTTTCACAGTATTCACCTTAGCTTTTCCACTTTTTCTGACTTTGATGTTTCTCCCTTCTGTGAAGTCCGAAGTCAACTAAAGGGCTAATTACAACTATCATAAAGCCTGCCATTTGATAAGAAATGCTGAAATACTTTGAAGTTCTGAGCGAAATTCATAAAATACCATGAAATAGGAAAGTTCTTAGGGAATACACCAATCGGCTTCCATAAGTTGAACCATAGGGTTGGAGATCTGGTCTTAGGTCACTATAAAGTGTGAAAGGACTAAATGTTTCACGCTCCCTTCAGTAGCCTTAACACCTTGAATCTTTAAACAGAACGAGTGCACTTTTACATCTTCCCCCTCAATTAACTGCTTACCTACTTATGACAGTCGTAATGCTAAGATTTTAGCTAGGCATCACAGATTCAAGGTCAAGTGCTTACTATGATGCATTAGCAAACAAGTCCGATTATCACATATTCTGACTGGTTCGCCAAGGAAGGGTAAAAGTACTCTAAGTCACTGGATATGGACTAAACCAACAACTTTGACAGTCCAATGGGGAAGTTTGAACCCCATGTACGCTCCACAAATACAGCTGATGTTAGCAAATGCTTTAAATAAACTCTAATTGAAAAAAAAACTCTACAAATGACTTTGTGAAAAGTCCGATAGCCTAAGAATTCACTAAGAGTGCAACTCACTGGCACAAAGCATAATGCAACTATTAGGAGTGTCTTGGAGAGCTTAATACCCACTTACCCGATGAAGGGATTGCAATTTGGCCTGGAAAGTGCCGTCCACACCTGGGAGAGCAACTTCGTTTTCTACTCCAACTTGAGCATCACCCACCACCCCATCATTCGCAGGCTGTGAGTTGAGATTCACCTTGAGTGGGAAAAAAATGGGTCAGCGTTTGATTGTCCTACGCATATTTATTAACCACCAAAAATATGGCTAATTTTTTTATGACAACTCGAAACAGCCTCAAGCGATTACAATTCTTGATCTTACGCATTTTTGGTTTAAACGAATAGGCATTCCACTTGAAACACTCGCCACAAGAGATGTTTCCAAGTAAACTTTCACGAATTGTTCATGATTGATTGCTTCCAAGGATCTGGATTAATGCATTTCAGATAGTTTGACAATTTTTGTAGGAACCATTTTAATTAAATAGTTTGACTTCTAGTATTTACAGCCAGGCTTTTAGTGACAATCTTAGACCTCAGATCAGGTACGTGCCAGTCTTGGTGATCTTGTAAACGTTCTCAACGTCGCAATTTGTGGTGATCGATTTAAAGCTAACCTATAGATCCCCCTTTCCTTCTTTAGTAATGAAAAAAAGGAATAATAAAAAAATGAAAAACATTCTGTCATTTGTGAGAAAAAAGGAAGAGACAAAAGCAATACGACTCACCTGGAAGATGAAGAAAATGAAACCATAGACTGCTGGACCGAGACCTCCACATAGACCTCGAATTCCCGTCAAGAGACCCTATATAGCGACAAAGAACAGCAAGAGAGAAATAAGAATGGTGTAAGCCAACTAAAATGTCAGTGCTACTTATAAACACATAAGTAGAGTTTGGGAAAGATTAAGAAACAGTCAACACACCTTAAACACGACTTTCACAATCAAGTAGAATCATGTGATTAAATTTTTCAGGAGATACAAATAGGATATGTGTGCGATAAGGCACAAAAGTTGATATTCAGAATGCGTATCGATGGGATTTCGGATTCATTTCCAGATCAGAACATTATCACTAACGGACTTATATTTACACAAGTAATGCCAAGGTCGAATGGTAAAAGGAACCAGTCGCCGCTTTAGGGTACATTAAAATTGGATTAAATTTTCTCCTGTTGATATTAAAATGTTAATAAAAGCTTTAAATATCATTTTAACTAAAAGATATATTTTTTAGTAGTGGTCCACGAGATAGGTTGTGTTTTATTCTACTTGAGCAAAAAAGCACAAAAGTAAAATTAATTTTCCAAAATTTGCTTCGTTTAGTTGTATATAAGCAAAAAATATATTTGTTAATATTCAACCAACAAAAAATTTTTTCGTTTCAAACTAGAATTGACAGTGCGGGTGACTGAAACATTTGCTCTTTGTACGTTAAAACGGGTTCCACGAATGTTCGGCCGGACGTAAGTAAAACAATTGTGCTACTAAAGAGAATCTTGACTATTTTTCAGTATATTAGTAATTTAAGTAGTATATTTCTACCGTCAATCGAACAATTACTATTTTAGAACCAATAGCACCACCATGACAAATATCGAACAGAATAATATACGCTTGACCTTCGAGAAAGAAAGTACTTTTTGAGCGCCTGTAGCAAATGTGCATAAACCGTGCATTCAAGGTGCGCCCACATGTTGATTATTGAAATTGTGTATCCATGACTAGCTGCAGAAGGTAGATGTAAAAGAACAACAACTAGCTATAAATGCCTAAAAATCTTCATTTTGATCATCACCAATTAGGTGGGACCTCACAGTGCCACTGGAGGTGTTTAACTCTGCTGCAACTCCCTTGAGACTGTTGCCAGGCGGCCCACACTAACACTCAATTCCCAAGTGACCTCAAAAATGCCCCGCAGAGAACATCGCGTGTCCTCATTGAGTGGCTTATGTTAATTAGTGCAATGAGCCACTCAAGTATTCATTGGGTGAGCATTGCCAGGAATTAGTTTCTCCGATCGGGTTAGCCCGAACCCATTCCAATTGTGTGCTCTTCTCCACCTCAAGAGGAGACATAAAGACCCTTTTGTAGATACACATATAGCACCCCTAATTTATCAGATAGTGCGAATTCCCTCTCTTTTTCAATCTTCCCTACTGTTCCAATCCCGCCCCACACGTATTTTAACGACAGTGAAACATTAAAAAAATGAGTCAAGTGGCATCTTCAACACTTCAATTTTATCTACCAGTCAGGAAGCTTTGAATACTGCAGACACGAACTCACACAAAAATGCAAGAGACCAAATAACGGTAAATGCGCTTTTGAGCATTTGAATAGTTGAGAAGGTGGATGACTCCGTGTTTCAAACGTCTGATTGAACCATACCTAAGCCCATGCTGGACCACTTTGCAAGTACGTGTGTGTGTTCAGACACTAGCTAATGAGCAATACATATAACCCTCCCCTGTGCTTGCGTCATGGTTCATAAGAATATACCAATAATGGCACTGCTCACTACTGCCTCTAGAAGTGAAAATCGCCATACAATGTGCGAATTCAGGGAAGAATGGGGAAGTGCGCAGCTGACAATTATCGTGAAGAAGAAAACAACGCCGTCACATTATCCGCCGGATCACTGTTCTTCATCAGGGTCAACAAAGTCTATTACCAGATTTCCGACAGCTTAAAACCAGCACATCAGAAAGCTAGATTCAATACAAGTATTTCTAAAGGACTTTTTTGAAAAGTAGCAACGACACTGCTTCACTTTCGAGATGGGAAGCAAAACCCCTGAGAGATTTTAATACCATTAATCACTCCATCTTTCCTCCCAAATTATACGCTTATAGCAGCACATATCTCTGCTTGTCTATATAATTCAAAAATAAATAATGAACGAATGCGGAATACTATGTACTTGGGTGAGACCCTGTTGGTCCGACTTGACGTGATTGGAAAGGAACGCGGAGAGTGCAGGATAGGTAATGCTTCCAAGACCAGCAATAGAGCCTGCAGTCCAGAGGATCCAGGGAGCACTGAAAAAACCCAAGAGGGCCAATTGGCAGGCTTCCAACGCCAGACCCACAATTATTGCGTGCTTCTGACCTATAAAGGCAATTAGGAGTCCCATTCCACAGGTCTAAAAAAGGAGATGAAGAAGAAACAAAAATGGCAAGGTCGAATGTTCACGAAAAACGTCCACTTTAATTCACTAACAGCTTATAAAACAATGTTCCAACAGGGGTCACCAGTCTAGAATGCAAAGATCGAAAGATATTGGCGGTTTAAAGATGATAAGAATTGGAATGCATTCATGTTTGCTGTCCAGTCAAGTGGACCGCCAACACTTCAGGACCCCCGTAATTACCAAAATATCGAAGGAGCGCAAGCCATATGTGCTCTAAAGGTGGATCCACAAAGCCAAATGGATGCGATGGCAGCATAAAGTTGTGAAGATACAGCACCTGGCATTCATCCTTCTACGTGGCTTTAAGTTGATAAAAAATATGCTACTTAAATTGCTCAGTAATAATTAAGCACGATTTTACACCTTATTATCGCACACTTTAGGGAGCAGGTGAATTCTACGGATCAATACAGTTTACGATAAAAAGATGTACTTACAGTTGGATCTACATAATTTAAACTGATGATGGGATAGTAATAGCAATTAGATAGAAGTCTAAATAAAAGCGTTTCGAAGTCGACAAAAAACATTGATCCCGGGGGGGGGGGAACATTGAAAGAGGGCACAAGAAGCTCAACTCACATATTAAACAATACAGTCAACCAATTTCTCCCCCTCCTCCACCCCCCCCCCCCCCCCCCCCCCCCCCCAATGATAAAATGTATTCTACATCGATTATTGATTTGCGTGAATGGATGACAGGCACACTTCGACACCGCATTAGGACTCTGCTCACCTACCCTCGCCCCACCCCACCCCAGCCCCCACTCTGAGCGCCCACATAACACTCACTCTGTTCCTTCATCTCAAACGTGGCCCTCCTGCATGCACGTCGTTGTTCGACTTCTACTCAAACACAAGTCGTATAAGTAGGGACAGATGAATGCAGTCTTATTGGTCATTGGGAATATTTTCAGTCAAAAAAATTGGAGTTACAACCCAACAGACGGCTTCCACTACAAATTCGAAATGACCACCACTTAGAAAGTCGATCCAAAAGTGAGATGGAGAGAAAATGTTCGAAAAGAAGCTCGTCGCCTCGAAAGAGTCCCTTCAGGGGTGATTAGAAAAGACAAAAGTGTTAGGAGAAATCAACTGAAAGCCACAAACAACACCTTCCAACTTGAGACGCAATGTGAACGGGGTAGTTGAATAACGTTACAGCTAAGCAACTCATCAAGCAGAAAGCAATCGAATAGAAGAGATGAAGAGAGTTATAATGAAATGCCCATTTGAGAGGAATTCAAACCTTAGAGAATACTGACTCACTGTCTACCTAAAATGAAGATGGGTGGTGCAACTCACCTACTTCTTTAACTCACAAAATTAACTCGATTGGCACAAAATTTCATGAAAACTATTCTCCCGCAGAAATGCTGACAATGCTAAGGACAAAGTGACCGCGAGTTGCAATCCGGTCTTAAGAAATACCGTCACCGTCGAGGAGACAACCTCATATTCTCCCCCCCCCCCCCCCCCACCAATCCAACTGATCAATTTTAGCGATCAACTAAACTTAAGTGTTAACTTTGGAGCGAGTTAATCCGAGTGATGAGTTAAGGATTAATGAATCTTGAAATATATTTCACGACCTAAATCCACCTTATGATGGAGAAAACCCACGTCCTCTCGTCTCCGGGTTGCATCGATGGCTCGATGTGAAAAATATAAACGTTTAAACAACCCAAGCACCATGAAGATAAACTAGACTGCGCGCGCGTATGTGTGTCGATTTGCAGAGGTATGAAAAAAATGCCGATATGAGAGGACTGACCTGTGCGACACAAGAGAAGAGTCCGCAGATGGCTATAAAGAGAGCCACATTCTCCTCAGTGAAGTTCATCACCTGCAAAAAAAGAACAGACAAGAAGGGAATCTCATTCCTATTATTATTTTTAATATTATAAGTTCAAAAAAAAACAGGGGTGTGCGATAGACTTACCTCCATGTGGTGCACCCTGGGCAACGTACACTCATACGGCAAAAAAGTCTATTAACCGGCAGTTGACTTCTCACTTCAAACAACTATCACCCCCCACTGTATGTCATATTCGACCCCTACCACTACTCATCTTACCCTTTCTGAGCCTTTGTGTCTGTTTCTTTACATCTTTGAAACACCCTTCTATTCCCCCTCCTGAATTCTTCTCACTTTGATGTTCCTCCTCCCCTCTGTGAATCCCAAAGTTAACTAAAGGGCTAATGATAACTATCAAAACGCCTACCATTTGTTATAAATAAATAAACAACTTCGAATAACAAATTGGTGTTTCACAAAGGTGACTTAATTGGCCTACATGCATCATTCATGTCATAAGAGTGAAAAAAGAAGGAGGTACTCTAGGAAGTGCAATCACATGGAAGTGTCTCGAAAAGAAGAAAATAGTTCAACCCCCTGTGGCTCCACATCTGCTCTACTACTCGTCGTAAGACAGGAACGCCAAGATTCCGACCACAAATAATAATGCCAATCGCAGAATGTACGAGAGTTATTGTGTCGGATTAGTCAGTGGACACGTCTGAAGCGGATTCAATTCCAATCGGTACGATGATCAACCGCAGTGATTAAGTGACAGGATTCAAGTTACTAGGCGAAGAAGATGGACATCCCTATTCCTCTTCTCAAAATGAGCGTAGAAAAGATGCCTACTAAAATGGGCTTGAGAATTACAAAAACAGTTCATTCGACATAACGACTCATCTCTCTCTCTCTCAAGCCTCAAAAATTAGATCACGTAAAAAAATATTCCCATCAAAACACAGCCTCGATTTGATAATTTGGTTATGACGGTAGGCGATAAGGGGACTGTAACAGTCAATTTTGACTAGGTGAAAGTCTAAACTTGGGACAACTTTGACTGCTCATTGTCCGAGACTTTTAACGTGGCGGAAAAAGGCGGAAAGCGAAGATGGGTCATGGAAGCACATACAATAACTCCACTGCGCAACTACTGGATCTTGAAAACATCTTGATGTGTCAGAATATTGGAATTCAATTACATTTATTAGCAATTAAGATTAATGGTTATCATAGCATAAAGCCCACGTAAGTAATGTTATTATGACTTAAATGACACGAAAAATTAAAACACTCTTTTCTATAATGTCTACTCAAATACGAGCCCAATGATAGGAGGTACTTTAAAGTAAATTGGTCGCCCACAGCGCATTTCATCTCATGGCTTGAACACATGTTTTATAGAGAGAGCTCTTAGAGCACGAGATTCTAAGTGAGATGTAATTCTTAGCATACCTGATTTCTCATGGAGAAGCATGTCACCGTAGTTAAGCACTTATAACACCATCTGCAGAGCCTGATCTAAGTTAAAACACTATTTAGAATTAGTAAGCAAATAGATACCGCCATTTGCGAATAAATTAAATTCATCTCAACCCTCCCCCCCCCCTCCCTCACCCCGACTTAACTCCCTTATTGGCTATTGATAATAATTATGTAGACTTGGGGTATAGGTATGAAATGGTGAGAAGGCAATAACCGACATCGTAACTTGGTTAAAATTTGTAAAACAAACCCCAGGCACATACGTTCGCAGCAATTATTCGGCTAACATTAAGATATTGCTTGAGTAAATAAGTAACACAGAGGGTGAAAGGAGGCAACAAATCTCACGAAGACTCACTAATCGTAGGTATACGAAGAAGCAGGAGTATTCACCGGCCTCGGGAAGGTAGGAGAGGAAGGTTGTCATGCAGACCAAAAGTGTCACACGGTCCCGACTGATATGCCGAAGCGCCTACAATGAGACAAAGATAAGCAAAGCTCACTAAAGGCCAATTGGGTCATTTGAAATACAGCAGAGTCTCGTGGAGCGCTAATTAGCACTACATTAGCGACAACCTCTCTCTCTCTCTCAAAGGACCGAGAATACATTCAGCCACCAAGAGCACACAATTCGCTAAAAGAGACGTGTCCAGCAGGCTAGGTCTCAAGGCCGTTACACACACACACAGTCGCAGATATTTACAAGGTAGACGTTTGGATGAAGTGGGCTCTTCACAAACTAGAGTGAGCATAAAAACGATAAATTCCAACCCGTGCGATCCCCCAAGCAAACATGATCCAATCAATAAAAGAAGCAGATAATGCCATACCACGATGATTCCACCTATGAAATTGGATTTCATAGGTGGAATCATCGTAAATACATGTTGATTACTCACGGACAAGGGAAATCAATATCATATATGATTTCAATTGAGTGCACTTAGCTGATGGAACAATTGACACTTTCCTAATCTACGCTACGTTGGGGTTGTAAGCTGTTGACTTCGCCTCCTCTCAATACTTGGAGAGGAAAGGAATTGAAGTGTCAAGGTTAATCAAAACCCAAATTAATAGACATTGCTTAGCTCCGCGAACAAATCGTGAATTTGGACTTGAGGAATACAATTTATCCACTTAGCGACAATTGTACATCCAGAATCCAATAAAATCACAATTGAAGTACATTAAGATTTCTTTAGCCAGCAACCCTCCACCCCCCCCCCCCTTCCCCATCCCTCCTCCTCTTAATCACAACTGTTACTCCATGTCAGCAGGTGCTTTTCCC